GTGTACATCATCTGGTCCAGCCAGGCTTGCAAGGTAGAATTCGGATCATGATAGTGGGGGCGGGGAGGAAGCATTTAGGAACTAGAGGAAAGTTGTATTTTTCATCATTGCTACATCGCACCCTGACTGGCTCGTCTCCTCCCTGAGACCCCTCTGCAAGGGGATCTCCAGTGAGACTGTGGCTCTTTATGGGAGTAGAGAGCCTCTTCTTTCTCCTTCAGAGTGGCTGGTGGTGTCAAACTGCTGACCTTGTGGCTAGCAGCCCAAATTGTAACCATTATGCCCCAGGGCTCCCTCCATAAAGAGTACAGCCATGAAAGTCCTCTGGGGCAGCCTACTCCGTCCTAGAGAGTTGACTTTGAATCAGAATAGATTTGATGGAAGTGGTCTTGGGTTGGTTTGGGGACCATGTATCAGAGAGAACAGAACCTGATGACCAGCTTACTTGCCAAGATGCCGGAAGGGTCAAAGGAACACATGCGATCCTGGAGGGCTCAGATCATGGTCACCATACGTCTGAAGGGCTCCATAGCAAAGATCGTGTTTCCAGAGCCCCGTGAGGTCCCCCGGGACCTGAGGAAGAGAGGCCTCCTGACAAGAGGGGTGCAAGTGCCACTAAAGAGTCAGCCCCATAAGAGGAAGGAAGTGGGAAAGATATACCCCGAGTTTTCTCTCCTCCCACTCTTTCATCTTCTGCTGATGCCTTGAGTTGATCAAACCCAACTGGAAACCAGCAGGGCAGGGAGCCTGCAAGGTGAAATCTTCACGCTCAGTCTCCCTGGGCATTCACCAGGGCAGAGAATGGGTCTGTGAGGGCTAGAACGCCCACTCACTGCCATTGAGTCAACTTTGACTCGGAGCGACCCTACAGGACAGCGTAGAACTGCCCCCTTTGAGCTTCTGAAACTGTTCATTCTACGGGAACAGAAAGCCTCAAGCTGTCTCCTGCGGAGTATCTGGTGGTTTTGAACAGCTGCGCCATCAGGGTAGATTGAGAATAACCATTGGCAAGTCACTTAGCCTCACGTAACAAATGGAGTTAAGACCAGCCTCTCCATTATTGTTAGACTTCAATCTCACCCAGCGCAGTACCTGGCAGCGGTAGATGTTTACCAAGTGATTCTTCTTTTGCTTGTCTGGGTGATCTCCTTCCACCTTCCTTTGACACGGTTTTCTCCTGTCCCTCCATTTATTATCTATTTTTCTTAGCTAGTGGTGCCTTAAAGACACCTATGTTGGTCTATAGGAGAAAGAGAAGAGTTTCTATTTCTGTAAAGAGTTACAGTCTTGGAAACCCACAGGGGAAATTCCATCTTGTTCTATAGAGTCACTGTGTGATGGGATCCACTCAATGGCAGTGAGAGATTGGTCTGTTCATAAGATTTGCCTAAGGTCTAAGGGGCCATTGTTAGAACAGAACAAGGGAATAGTATGTGATTTTCAATGAGGAAAGATGTGCATGAGGGTTGTATCTCTTCACCATGCATACTCAATCTATATGCTAAAGAAATCATCGGAGAGGCGAGACCATAGGAAGACTAACGAGACATCAGGATTGCAGTTTTAAATCCTTAAAACTCGAGCAATAGACAACAACCTGTCAAATGGAGAGAAGGTTGAAGTTGTCACGGATTCCATTTAACTTGGATCCACAATCAACACCCATGGAAGCAGCAGTCAAGAAATCAAGCTGTGTATTGCATGGGGCAGATCTCCTGCACAAGTGATCTTTACGGTGTAGAGACCCAAGATGTCACTTTAAGGACTGGGCTGTCCCTGACCCCACCCATGGTACTTTCAGTTGCCTCAAATACACATGAGAGCTGGACAAGACCAGCCCCTAGAAAAGGGGAGCATGCGTGGTACAGTAGATCAGAGAGCAGGTGGAAGACCCTCAAGGAAATGGATGGGCACGGTGGCTGCAACAATCTACTCAAACAGCAACAGCTGTGAAGACGAGGCAGCGTGTTCATTTGATTGTACGTAAGATTGCTGTGTGTCCTAACCAACTTGATGGCCCTTACCAACAGCACCACGGTGGTCGGTAGGATCACTATGGGTTGGAATCGACTACATCTCAGTGGGGTTTTTGTTTGGTTTGGTTTATCTGTGGGCGATTGGCCTGGGATCCAGTTTTTGTCCTTCTTGTTTTTCTCCTTCTCTGCTATCCATACGCCCGGCCCCCCTTGTCTTTTGGCTTCCTGGTAGATTCCCGGTGGGAAGCACACGTGGGAAGTTGGGGGGAAGCAGGAGGAGAGAAGCCAAGGTAGTTTTTCATTTTCTCTGCTTCCGCTGGTGTTTCTGGAGAGACTGGGTCCCTTCTGTGGCTCCAGCTCCTCCTTAACTGGCTCAGCTCCTTCTGAGTGGACTTGTTCATAGTTCCATCTCACCAGCCGGTGCTGGCTTCTGCCCTCTGGGAATACCACCTTCTCCTGTTGTCCTGCCATCCCTAGAAGCACTACTGGTTCCCAACAGCTGCTAACCCCTGGTTGCAATTTTGTTTGGTTTTCCATCACCACCTAGGGGACCGGACTCTATGTTAAATATACTTAGTTTGAAATATTTACAGCTGTTTCTGTTTACCTGGCTGGATTATGTCAACTGTCTCCCCCCCAGCCCCTAGCAGACTAACTCTAAGCCCCCCACCCCCACCAAAGCTTGATGTACTTGCCAAACGATCATCGTTAAAGTGCTGCCGTGGCGTTTGGTTATGCCTGTTGTCAAGTCGGCCCCAGGCTCACGATGCCTCTGCACACAACAGGGTGGAGTGCTGCCAGGTTCTGTCACCCTGTGACTGGCGATCAGTTGCGTATCAGACCATTGTGATCCATAGGGTTTTCATCGACTCGTTGCCCAAAGTAGTTCTCTTGCTCCTCTGTCTGATCTAGAAGTGCCCGTGAAGCCTGTTCAGCATCATAGCAGCATGCAAGCTTCCACTGACAGACTGGGGGTGGCTATGCACGAGATGCATCGGCCAAGGACTGAACCTC